GATCTCCCTCTGTCTCCATCTTACAAAGTGCATGTGATGGCATTGAGGGGCCCTCCCAGATAATCCAGAATAATCTCCCCATCTCAAAATCCTTAACCTAATCACATACTTCTCCATGTAACATGACAGGGATTGGGACACGGACATATCTTGGGACCACCACTCAGCCCACTACGGGTGGGAATCTTTGTAGCCTGGAGGGGCTCCTGGGTGGGAGCCGTGTCCATGCCACCCAGTCCGTGGTGCTCCATCATGGCAGCCGAGCTAAGACAGGCAGGTTCAGCTCCAGCAGACGCTGCCCGGCTGCTTTCCAAGTGGCTGTGCCAACGTGCACTCCCAGAGCATGTGACATCCCATTCTGTCCACGTCTTCTGTTTCTTGATCTGGATTCTGGTTACACAGTGTGTTCCATTTGGGAAAATCTACTGAGCTGTACACGTGTGATACATGCCTTTTCTGTGCATATTTTATACTTAATAAAAGCATCACAATTTTTTTAAGTATTTATGATTCCGTCTAAAAATCTCTGATCCTCCAGAGAAGTTTCCACTGCACACCCACACCATAAAGTCTAGAATCTTCTACAGTATTTAAAAGTTCACCATGAGAGGCTTGAGACATCTAAACCTCAGGCCCAGAAGCAGGAAGTAGCTCCTGGGGATGTGAGGCTGGATGTGAAGCTGGTGGCCCCTCTGCAGGACCGAGGTGATGTCCGCCTGTCCGCTCCCCATCCTGAGTCACTGTGGCTAGCAGACTAATCTGGGCCCCTCGGTGTCAAACAGCAGAGGAGCTCACAGATTTGGAATGAGATCTGCATCTCCCAGAACTCTCTGGAAATGTGCTGTCCACTCTCCCCACCTGTGCACCTGCGTCTAAAGGGACATGGTGAGCAGGACAGTAATAAATACCCCTGAAGCCTTAAGACTTTGTCACACCACGGCAGTGAAATCAAATGCAATCTGCAAATCCAAACAAATCACTCGGCTTAACACAATGCCCAGCGCCTGACTGCTGGCTGCAGAGAAGGGCGGGAAGGGGAGCATTTAGCTGCGGCAAGAGGAGATGGCGGGAAACCAAAGTGACATCATCACGATAAATAGAGCAGATTTCCAAACTAATAGTGAATTGGCAAGGCAATTGTTTACCTTGCAATGTAAATATACACAGAGCCATATTCTGCAAAGTACTTAGAGAAGAGTATTAGAAGTGGAGCAAGGAAAAGGCAGAGCCTACACAGCATGCTACCGTTAAAAATGGGAGTAAATAAAGATTAGGTGGGCCCCAATAAACGTGCAGCTGGTCATCAGGTGTGTGGAGTCTGGGAGGAGTGAGGCATGGCTGCCACCATCCACAGAAGATCACCGGCAAGTGAAGACAGGGAAGCCAGGCAAGCCCCTTGCCTGGGGCCATGGCATCTCCCATAGCCCTGCATCACATCCGGACCAAGATGCACTGATGTCCAGCACACTTGAATGACCTCTGAAGACCTCTCTCTTGGACCATGTGTAATTTGGCTTATATTTTAAGATGCTTGGGGCAGAAACCCATAAGATCATTGCAACAACCTGGATCCTGGAGACAAGCTTGAAGTGCCTAATCTCTCTGGAGGTGCATGAAGCCACTGAGGGAGAGGACTGGGAGCTGGGATGCAGCACCTGGCCCCTGGCATCCACGGCAGATCCCATTGCCACCATGTTACCCAGGAGGAAAGGGTCCCCATGGACTCGAGAGTGCAGGAGGCCAGCCCTGCCAGCCCCCGCACGTGGAGCCATCCATGGTGCAGGCCTTCAGACGGGCCTTGCCCTTGGGCTGAAGTCAGCGCTGGATACAGAGTGGGAGAAATTCTGGACAGTGGCTGCTCACCCAGAGCTATAAAAACATCTGACACACCACCAGGCACCCTGGGTTTTTGAAATTCGCTCCAGCGTGGTCAGTGGGTCTGGAGCAGACAGAAGCTGGGCTGCTGCAGGACTGCAGGGGGGCTTTGCTTTGGCATAAAGTGACCTGTGTCTGCTCCAGGATGTAAAAACGCCCATCACAGAAAAAGTGCCTGGACAGACACCAAATGGAAAGAGGTGCTCACTGGGTGCCTTAAGCGCAAGTCCTGAAAGCAGGGCAGTGGTCGCAGCCATCTCCCGGGGCAGCAGGGCTGTCGGTAGAAGGAAACTGTGTGAGGCTGGGTGCCCAGTTCCTCCCAATGTCAGTTGAAATCAGGCACGGGAAGGAGACCCACGAGGTGAGACCTTGAGCTGTGTGCCTGGGACAACTGCCACACCCATGCCTGGGCTACTTCCATTCCCTCCTGTGACCCGGCCTGGCCAACAAGGCCTAGTGTTGTCTTCTGGAAGAGGCCAGCCCAGCCTCCAGCTGGCTCCATTGTGACACCAGCTGAACACTGGGGGCCTGACCCTCAGAACCGGACACCCCAGGGCCCCTCCTTTGTGGCTCCCCATGGTCTCAACTTCTCTTGCTGAGGTTTCTTCACCTGTAAGTGGGGTAAAAACCAGGTTATTCTGAGGAACTGGTGTATCAACATGTTGGCAATGCCTGGCCTGCCCTGCACTCATGGGTCATTGTCAGGCCACACTGCTGTGGATCCAACCGCAGATCCCTCCATGGTCATCCAAGCTCCGCCTCCACGTTATGTGGCTCAAAAACACACCACCCAGGGATTGGGCTGGCTGCACAGTTTGCAGGGCCCAGCGCAAAATGAGAACGTGGCCCTTGCTCGAAGGCTAGTGAGAATTTCCACACAGCAACAGCAGAGCGCAAAGCCAGGCTTGGGGCGCTTGTGAACACAGCACGGGCACTCAGGCCACAGGCATGAGGCTGGGTGCAAGCAGCGGTTCTCAATGGGTAGGAGGTGCTCAGGTTCTATCACCAACACTAACACGCATGCACGTGCACACACGTGAACACATGAGCACACATGCATACACACACAAACATACGCACATGTGCACGTGCATACACACAAGCACACATGCATGCACACACAAACACGCGCACATGTGCATGTGCATACACACAAGCACACATGAGCACACATGCATGCACACACAAAAACACGCACAGGCACACATGCATACACACTCACACGTGGACACATGCACACATGTGCACATGCATGCATGCACACCCACACACGAGCACACATGTGTGGGCACACGGACACACACACACTGCCTCCCCTGCTTCATAACATTTGCTACCACGTGAAGAACAGTGACTGATGGGAGTGGCTGTTGCCCTCACTGTGCTATGCCAGGAAGAAGGGGCTCAGCTCCACATTTGGTCCTCTCCACATCCACAGTGGCTGACCCCAAGCCTGAGCCCATGGCAGGGACCAGAGGGAAGGCAGGAGCTCAGAGGTATTCTCCTCTGGAAGCCTTTTGCAGCTGCTGCTCCGTTATCATTGGTCCCCACCTTGCAAATGCACACTTATACTCACTCATATGTCCAGCTACCGCACAGGTCCTCTGTGTACATGGGAAGGGCATGGTGGGGATTTAGCAGAGAGGCCTGGCATGTGTGCATGCATGTGTGTGTGTGTTTACATGGCGAGGCTTGGTTTGGGGGTAGATATGAGCAGATATGGTCTTGCTGGGCCTCAGCTGGAGGAAAC